GATTCTCTCTTTGTCTTTGAGCTTTACCAGTTTGACTATAATGTGTCTTGGAGAGGATCTTTTTGGATTGAATCTGTTTGGGTATCTTTGAGCTTCCTGGATCTGAAGGTCTGTGTCTCTCCCTATACCTGGGGAGTTTCCCATTATTATTTTACTGAATAGGTTTTCAGTGCCTTTTCCTTTCTTCTCCCCTTCTGGAATATCCATGATTTGGATATTTGTGCACTTAAGGTCATCTGCTAGCTCTCTTAGATTTTCTTCATTTTTAAAAAGTTCTTTTTTTCCTTTTTTTTTTTTTTTTTTTGTCTGCCTGGGTTATTTCAAAAAGGCCATATTTGAGATCTGAAATTCTTCCTTCTGCTTACTCTAATCTGCTGCTTAGGCTCCCAGTTGTGTTTTTTATTTCATTGAATGAATCCTTCAGTTCCAGGAGTTCTGCTACATTCTTTTTTAAGGTATTAATCTCTTTGTAAATTTCCTCCTTCATATCCTGGATATTTTTTCTCATTTTGTTGCATCTCATTCTACAACTGAGTCTTCTCTTATCTCATTGAGTTTTCTTAAGATCATTGCTCAGAATTCCTCTTTAGTCAGTTCAAGGATTTCCTGCTCTTTGGGGTCTGGTACTTGAGAATTACTGTATTCTTTTGGTGGTGTCAAATTTTCTTGTTTGTTTGTATTTCTAGTATCTCTACAATTGATGTCTGGTGATCTGGTAGAGCAGTTGTTTCTTCTATTACTTTGGAGTGGGCTTTGAGGAAAAAGACTTTTTCCTCTATTTGCAGGCTCTGCTGATGACTCTCCCTGTGTCAATGCAGTTGCGTGTGTGGCATCCTGCCTGCGGGTTGGTCCTGGCTGCTACTGTGGTGGTAAGCAGTCCTTGTGGCAGCAGTACCTGTGGAGTTAGCTGTCGTGGATTACCTGCTAGAAGCAGTGTTTGTGGTGCACTCCTGCCTTCTGTTTGGGTGGTAGGGTGGCCACCCAGGGCTGCCACCTGGGACCCTGGTCACCGGACACTCTCTTGCCTTCTCTTTCACCACTTTAATGATGCTGTTATTCTCTTCTGCCCTCTTTCTGATGAGAAGTAAGCCATAATTCATACCATTGCTTTCTCTTTTTTATACCATATATATCTTTTTTCCTATGGCTTTCAAGGTTTTCTCTTCATTTTTGGGTGTGTGTGTGTGTGTGTGTGTGTGTGTGTGTGTGTGTGTGTATCTGTGTGTGTTTATTGATTCTGCTTGGGTTTTGCTGAGCTCCTTAAATCTATAAATTAATGGTTTTCACCAGGTTTGGGGAATTTTTGATCATTATGTCTTTGTATATTTTTCTACTCCATTCTCTCTCTCTCTCTCTCTCTCTCTCTCTCTCTCTCTCTCTCTCTCT